TCACACACGAGGAATATGTAGGACTTTTCCGTGTATCCGGACATCACTCTCGGATGAAATAGTTTTGTCCAGCGATTCCATTCATCATGGCGAGAAAGAGGTAAATGTGTGTTGTTGTTTCAACGGCCCCTTCGCTTCACGATCAATGCCATTAACTACTCGAAACAAAAACAACCGTAGACTTGACTCTCCATGTAAAATAATGTACGAGCTTGCATACCTCTCAACACACGAACTAGACCGTTACATGTATGCGTATCGTGTGTGTGTCTACTTTAGTAAACGTGCGGTGTTTATGCTGGCAACTATGGCAAACAATAAATCATCATAATAATAAGAAGTATTCTCATCAAAAATCGTTTTGTAACCATCCGACTCGTCTAAATAAGTCCAGAATCAAAACGTATACTATTCCATTAATTTATGATTTATTGTATTTTGACCAAGAAATATTAGTGTTTACTTTTTTGTCATCTAATGACTCGTATTGTTATTGTATGCATCCCAACGCCGCCTATCAAACGACGTAATTCGACAGTGCCGACTAGTCCAACAGCAGTACCGACAGACACATTCTTGAATCAATATTAGATTTTGTCTCAACTGAAAAATCGTTTCAATTTAACAATTTTTGCGGTATTTACTATCAATCGACTATTTTGTCACCTTGCAACCTAAGTAATTCAATAAGTGAATTGTTCTGTATTGTTTTCCTCTGCTATGAGACTTCGAGTATCATTCATTCGCTATGGAAGAAATCTAGACTTATATAAACACTGCTAAGCTATTAGCAAACAGAAGGGACACCAAATCGAAGAATTTGAAAACGTTCGATGTGTTTCCGGCGGTTTACGACCAAAAAGTAGTGTTTTTTTCTTTTTGCAAAACCGAACGATTCTTTTGTTAAGTATAACAAAAACGTATTCAGAGAGCGTGTTTAAAATTTGATATTGTTGTTATGAGTATACGGCCGCTTTAAAGTCTTGCCGAAGTGCGCGGGCTGGTAATTCACGTTTGCGGTTGTTGTTTTTATGTTTTGTGTTTGACCGTAGCCGCCTCTTCCTGCGATGTTGTTTTGCATACGAATTGTACGATAACGTCATTATCCAGCACGCGTCCGGTAACTCTTAGAAGGAGGAAATACTAAAGATCCGGACAAGACGTACATATAGTCCCAAATTCGGAATATTGTGATCGCCAGCAGTTGATAACTTCGAGCCCGAGGGTATTTGATCTGTTCGTGGGAAACTGCTGTTTGTGCGGTCCGACGTTTGACGCCGTGTGCATTGCGTACATGTAGTGTACCATGGCGTAGTTTAAATAATAACGATAATAAAATAATGTAATATTATATATGCATGGTCCGAACGTATATAGTATAACAGGTTGGGCCGTCAGGCGTCACTGCGGCTTACAGTATTTAGATGGTGCGGTACCATGCAGACCTGACCGACGGCCGTAGTTTACCATATAAAGAGAAGAGAATTTTGACTCGGGCCGAAGATGAATGCAAGACGGAAAATAAAGAAATTCCGTTGATCGTCTTCTGTAAATAGACAAAATAATAGTATTGTCAAAATGACGTGAAGACCACCGGGAGAGTACCTAAAAAAATGTTGAACAAAAAGTCAAACGGCGTTAAACAGATCTGGCATAATAATCGCTACCGAAAACTGTGATTCGATTTGTTCGAAGTTATATCCAAAACCCTTAACCGGTAAAAAAAAAAATATTTTTTTACCGATAAAACGTTTTCTGCAGTACATATATTGCATTAATGTGGTGAGTTTACTTGTTTATTGTACAGTTAAGCAATATTATTTTGTTCATTCCATCAAAAAAATCTCATTAACTACAATTACTATACTATTGTCTGGTTATATAGGCAGCAACAGTTCATTTAAACTGGTATCTCTCTGTGTCGGATGAACAATTACAACCCTTTGCTAAAAAATAAATTTATTATTATCGTTTAGAGTATAATTTTCTCCCCGTTCGCGTAGGTACATAATACAACCAAAATCAAAACACCATTTAAACTGTACGTTCACGGTGCAATTGAGATCGATCGTATCGATACCAATTCTTTTTTCAAAAAAACTCAACCCTTCCTCTATAGGGACGACCGTTTTTTAGTCTTTGAATTTTATCGCCTCCGGTGTATTTATTTCCAATTATTTTAATTCGTCTTAACTACTAGTGCTTCGCATCACTGACTCAATGTAAGCCGCAATATTGTAAAAACGATGTTGGTTCACACCCCAAAAACTTGAACGGCCTCTGCGAATTTCATTATTTTCCCTCGTTAAAGTCCCTCGCGTTTACCGTCTCCGCAGTGGATGCATTGCGCGAACCGACCGACCACCACGCCACTATATTCGATACATCGACTAGATATTGTGTATTTATTATGCCAATGCTCATCGAACCTTGTTCAGCCCAGAAATCAAATTAATATTTACATCTTCGCCGTATTGGATTTGCACACAAACGACTAAGGCCAGTAATCCCCTCGACAAAACGTCACCATGATGTGTGCAGTTCAGTGCGGCACTCGATTTTCTGCACTGACCCTATTTTTCGATTTCGCGCGTTTATTGTTTGTAAACAGAATGTGTTAGATACGAATCAATCTGATTAAAACAAAGTGCGGATGATACAGGGATGACTTAAATCTTAGCAAGAGCGTCGGTGTGTTACACAGAAATGTTTTCATGAGAGCGACCAAGTACAACGTCCGTCAAATTGTGTTTATATTTTTTCACCTAAACAAACGCAATGATAACGTTTTTGTAATGTCGTCGTCTTAGCAAGGCCAACTGCGAAGTCGGACTGACTCCATATAAGGTTGGTCTACATCTAGCTTTCTCATTGGCGGATTCTTCAGAGCTGCTCTCTCTCATCAGGCCGACATTAAATTAGCTACGACCTCGTAAAATATTTTCCAAAGGTCGAACGACCAAATGTGCATGTGGCATCTGTTTGTTTATATTTTCGTACAAGTTTTATTTTGCCTATCTAAGCTTAATTGACAGACGGCGAACAACAAATTCTGGCCTAATACGGCCTCTGTTGATAAATCACTTTAGTACGTTGTGAAATAAGTAAATAATTTTCATTTCGATACGCTTAATCGATTAAATGACGTTTTTTTTTCAACTATAAGAACAATGTATTTTTCGCTGGTTTTTTCCTCGTCTGTTGGTTATTGTGAGGATTGAAGAGACGCGAAGCCGGAGAAATACAGAGAAAGTCCTCTGTCCAACGACGTGTGCCCCCCTCAGCTAATAATACATGGATATGGACAGATATATTCTACATAGGTATACTGCTGGCTTTAATGTTTGTACCAGGACAGTCGTCGCCGGGGTATGGACGAGCAACACGAAGAATTCAGTTTCCATAAATGGCGCATGCTTACGGTAAAATCGTTATGCCACCACCGACCATGTGTGTGTAAATTGATCAAAGCGGCTCTGCTTTTACTGCTGCAGGACTAGCAATATTATTTTATATACAAGTATAAGCGCTTCGTGTACACAGTTATCTTGCCCGGTGATTCCAAAGACTACCCTGCCGTACATATGGTTTTTAAAGTTAAATTTCATGTGCCCACGTTTAAGCTTTACCTGTGGGTAATTTTACTGCCATAGATATATTTTTAATAATTAACTACCTGTTCTTATTAGTAGTTGTAGGTATTGTTATAATGAATTGTCGTGTAATTTATATCGTGACTTGCGTTATTTAATTATTTCCTTTAAATTTCTTTACATTTTTCGAGTTTGCCAAAATGCCAAATATAACAATTTTAAATTACAATTAAAAAGTGATACAGATCGTACAAGCAATAGAGTAATGTTTTCCTCTACTACTACTACAGTACTTGAAATATAAATAAAATCACTTTTCTCAGGCTCGGCATTATATTTTACTAGATGAAAAATTATCACCGAGAAATGTGCTGGTTAATAGTCTAGTTGTGGCTGCAATGATGACAGGCACAAATAACGACCACGCCGCCATCGCGACCATATATGGATTGTACAATCCAAAGTATTTCAATCGAAGTGTGTAGTGATTGAGCTTATTATTAGTCAGATATTTTACAACTTGATACACAGTACAGGGTGTTCCATGTCTAATGATGCTCTAAGCGGCCCACTCTGAATTCAATTCACATTTTATGCATTTCTTTAAGGAATGCAATTTTCATTATATTATTTCTCAATTAATCAAAAGGTCAATGGCGTAAAGTAATACACAGGATAGTTTATTAAACGAATCTGTTATTTATAAATTTTTACCCGTTTAGGAAATAATAGTTTACAGATAAAATACTTCTAAAATCATATGACGTTTTAGTGGGTGCCTGTAAAACAATGACATACGAAAAATATTACAATTGAAGAAATTTATTTGTGTGTTTTGAACTTTTTAGTAACATTTTTCGCATATATAGATAATTAGGATTTGGGTTAAGAGATGTAAGCGGAAACTTTTAGTAATTCCATTAGTATTGAACCATAAGATAGTCATAGATCTTCGAAAACCTTTTACTCTTATTAAATCGTATTCCCGCAGATATTTAAAATCTTTATTTTAATCGCTTTAGACATAGTTAAGGATATTTTACGTCCTACCCCGCATAGAGTCATTAAACACGGCTATATATTCTTCGTGTTAGAAATAGAATGCATTTTTATTGTTGACAATAAAGCTACACTACTCAACGACTCTTCGCTTTTTTTCTCTTTTAGTGATTTCATTAGCCGTTTCAAAAATCGGTTTGAAGTATTCTGCTCATATAATTGGCTCTTAAGGATTTAGTGAAACCATATTCGCTTCAGTCGTGTATTCTTTGACCTAAAATCTTTATTTTCAAGTATAGTCGTGTATACAAGATTTATTCTTGTTAAAAGCAGTTTAAAATATAACTACATAAATCAATAATTTTAATAATATTTATGAGTTCTAATTAATATACATATATTTTACAGATATCGCTATGGATTGGTCAGATCACGCATTGTGGTGGCCTACTCGTAATTCATGGCTGACCAGAACACGATCTACTTTGGATCAATATGGTGTTCAGGCAGACGCAAAATTACAATTCACAAGAATGCACAAGACAGCGCGGATCCAATTACCAGATCTTCGTTATATCGACATGCGTGTAGATTACTCCATCAAAACTTTCAATGCTGTCATACAAATATGCAAAGAACTAAGTAAGCAATAAATATATTATACATTTATAATATGTGGGTGTATATTACAGTATAATATTCTAATTCGAAATTTGTATTATAGATATCAGACACCCCGAAGAACTTTCATTGTGCAAACCTCTCGAAGCGCATCATTTAAAACAAAATTTAAAACAAATGCACTATAATGGAAGCCAAGTGCAAACTCCTGTAGATACAAATACTTTTATTGCAAATAGTCAAAGTCCTTCAGGTTCCGTCGGCAGTTTAGACATGTCATCTTCACCGTTCATCTGTGCTCCTTTAAAAAATCATTCAACTCCTGTTAATTCACCTGTATCCGTAAGTTTACAACATGATCCTTTACAAACTCATTCCACGTTTAGTTTTATTATTGTTAAGTAAAAAATCATTTTTTAGCATAATGGAACATGGAAGAAAAGTTACAGTAAAACGGAATTAAACGGCAATGTGACATCTTTAGAAATGTTGAATGGATCTTTAGATACATCTCTAGCCAACAGCCCCTCGCCAAATAACGATATCCGAAACAAAATGCTACGGCCAAAATCTTTGATAGAAAAAGCTAGAATGAACGTTGCGTAAGTCAATCAATAAAACAGTTATAAAGATTTTGGTACATTTTATTTTACCATTCAGTGTAAAAGTAATCATGTTATACTGATTTTTGAGCATTTGCTTTCAATTGTGTACGAGTATTGAAGATTCATTGCAAAACATGTTACATTCACTGACTAATAAAATATATTCATCAATTTTTTTCAATTTTTCATCAATTGTTTTAGATGGCTTGATTCTTCTTTATCAATCATGGAACAAGGCATAAGGGAATTTGATACATTGAAGTTGCGTTTCAAATTTTATTCGTTTTATGATTTAAATCCCAGGCTAGATTCAGTTAGAATTAACCAAATCTACGAACAAGCGAAATGGAGTCTACTTAATGGAGAAATTGACTGCACCGAAGAGGAAGCGTTTATGTTTGCTGCATTACAAGTACATATATTTTTTTCATTTTTCGCACCATAGAAAATAAATATATCTACACGTATTTAATGTCGATATATTTAACTATTCTAATTATTATTGCGATTGTAATTTTTGAATTAAAAACAAAAATATAACGAAATATTTTTTCATAGTTACAAATAAATTTAAAAGCTGGTGTACCTCAGCCTTTAATAGAGCCCGTTGGCGGCGAAGATGACATTGATGCTGCCTTATCAGATCTACAAATTACATTGGAAGGTTTCCAACCGCCTTCGAGCATTAGCAGCATGAACTATGCACCCGAACTTTCAGACTACTTGAGATTTTTTAAGTACGTATTGTTGCAACTTATTAATTAGCATAAAATATATGCTGGTATAATATTCTTAAATAGACCATAATATAAATGAAATCGTAATTTTTATCACGTCTAATATTATTTTATACGCGACAGGCCTAAGAAATTTACCCTCAAAGCTTTCAAACGATATTGGTTCACTTGTCGAGATTTGCACTTGAGAATGTATAAAACGGCAGAAGAAGCACAAATGGGCGCTCCACCAGTGCACAGTGTCAGTTTAAAAGGTTGCGAAGTCACACCAGACGTTAACATTTCCCAAAACAAATTTGGCATCAAATTGGAAGTGCCTAGTTCTGATGGCATGACTGAGATGTGTATCAGATGTGATACTGTAAGTAGATATTTTTATGTGCACACATATCTAAACACAGAAATAATTTTAAGTTTGTTTAAATGAAGAATATATATATATTAACCTGTTCTATTGATGTATATTTAGGAAGAGCAATATGCCAAATGGATGGCTGCATGCAGAATAGCGGCCAAAGGACGTCCGTTATCAATTAACACGTACGAGTCTGAAGTCAAATCTATCAAAGCTTTTCTAGAAATGCAACATCCAGCTGTCATACAATCGCCCGTCATTAGTCCATCATCGTTAGATATCAATACCGAAGACTACATACCTCATAGATACGCTAGAAAACTTAAAGGCAAAGTAAGTGTTTTTATTATTTTTCTTTTAAGGTTTGATTTAGCTACTATTAGACCATCATAGATAAGGTTATTAATATATTTAAATGATTTTTAGTTGGTACAACGCGTTTTGGAAGCCCACTCAAACGTCAAAGATCTAAACTTAATGGAAGCTAAGATGAACTACATCAAAGCGTGGCAGTCGTTACCCGAATTCGGTATTTCTCTATTTGTTGTCAAATTCATGGGACACAAAAAAGACGAGTTGCTAGGAATAGCATATAACCGGCTTATGAGAATGGATATTTCCACGGGAGACCATATAAAAACTTGGAGATTTAATACAATGAAGGTGCGCATTTTAAATTACAACCCTTTAGGATCATTGCAAAAGTGTTTTTAAACATTGTATAACTTTTCTTTACATGTAGTACTTATGTTTAATACATTAATCACTTTTACAGGCATGGAACATCAATTGGGAAGTGAAACACATGATGGTACAGTTCGAAGAAGGTAACATAATTTTCGCCTGTCAGTCGGCCGATTGCAAAGTAATACACGAATTCATTGGCGGCTACATCTTCTGTTCGATGAGATCTAAAGAAGCCAACCAGACACTTAACGAGGAACTTTTCCACAAATTGACTGGCGGGTGGTCTTAATCATATCACTTAATCTAGTTAGGCTTTCATAACTATTGACCGACCGCTATCTCGAATTACCTAACCATTTAGTTGTATAGCGACTTAAAAATCAACTTTATGTATATTGTAGCACAGTTGTTTTTCACAATATTTCAATATGTTTAGTGTCACGTTTCGCCTTAACAGTTTTTAACTTTAATGAGATATGTTTATTTGATGTATGTTTTATTTGTCCTAAGTCTGAACGATAACAAATGGTGGCAACCTACACTAGACGTTAATTATATTATTTCTATAATAATTGTTTTTTCTGACACACCTCGCTCGTGTTAGTTATTTATTACAAATAATTTAATTGTTTTCAAACAAAATTAATTATTTTTCTTTGTTAAACTTAAAATATATTGTATGTAAAAGTATTAAAATTCATATTGTAAGTAGCAAACATGTTATAATATTTTAAGTAAACAACTGTGGGACGTTAAGTAAATTAGTGTTATAAAATATAGTAATCGTTTTTAAAAATTTGCCATAGTATATTACAAATTGTTATTGTTGTAATGTCGTATGTGTTTGACTACTGGCGTCGTGTAATTATTTAAGATGATAAATTTAATTGCATGTCGTTTTACAGTAAACTTTGTAGTCAAATGAAGCTTTTATCATGAACTGTTGTATTCAAAATTGTAGTCATCATAATGCCATTTTGTTTAATTTGAGCTAAATAATTGATTAATTGTTATATAAACATTGTTAAAACTAACAACACACACTAAAAGTGTTGAAAATTATATTTTTACTTACATTTTTACAAATTATTATATTTTTTTATGGATGAATAATTTATAGTATTATATAAATATTCGAAAACGGCGTTATCTACGAACAACCTAACAACGAATTTTAGTGGTATTATAGGTAAATGTCACTGACTTAATAAATGTATTTTATTTCTCAATTCGCGTTTAAAATACTTAAATTAGAGTACAGGTTAATAATTGTGAAACGTTCTTTAATTTAATGACCTTATGAATACTAACTACCACAAAATTTAATTTTATTACAATTTTTTTTTCTCGCCCTTTTTACTATGTTATTATAAGTAAATGTTATTTAAGATTATCAATGTCATAATTTATAGGATTAGAAAGGTGCTTCATACCAAAACCCTCTTTGTAACACTGTTATAACATTGTAACTTAATTGTTGTTGTCTTAATTTTTGTTTTAAATGTGAATTTATTGTGTATATAAATATATATATTATATTTTATAATATTATGTTGTAAAACTTCTATACGAAAAAAAAAACAAATTTAACCTACCTAAGTGAATTGTTGTTTTATCTTATACATTCGGCTCAGAAAAAGCGGACTTATACTAACTACTAAAATGAACAGCATTTAGATTTAAATGAAACAATATTTTACTTAATAATACGTTAATTTAATAAAATCATACATTTCTACATCTGAACTCAGCCATCTATTGTAAAATAAATTTTATTTTCAAATTATTTAGGAGGACTAAAATAATTTGAGTAGTAGCTAAACATAACAATATTTCGATACATTAATAAAATATACAAAAAAATATGATTTAATCATTAATTATTATATTTTTACTATTATAAATTTAACATTATAAATCAATACCACATTCTTGTGATATGAAACATAAAATTTAACTATACATTTTGGATATTGATTACGCCTTTATTATATTTAAGATACTAGATAAAATATTAAAATAAGATAAAAAGTCACGTTGTTCCATATGTACACACATTATAATAAACCACTCCAACCGTTAACGCAAACTGGATCCGCGCTTGAGCTAAAATGGTACTGGATTTACTATACCATGTTTATTTTTGTATTTTTTTAATCTATGTGACATATTAAAATAAATTAGTTTCAAATATGTCTTATCTTCATTGAGCCGGATCTTGAGTGCAATTGACGTTTTAATGTTTAAACAATCAATGAACATTATTACTATAACTTAGAAATTAGTGAAAAGAGCTACAATTTACTATGGTAATAAGTATTGTCCCGAAAATGAACTCGACGATGAGTTAATAAAAAACCGAAAATATATACGTATAACATTAAGACTCGTAATATATTAGTCCATAAAAGTTTTAACATGTTTGTAGCAAGGAATTTTGTGTAGGCAACTCAATCGTCACTTACTCGCTTGGCTAATAAATATAACGGTAAAGAAGAAAAATATTGAAAAACAGGACCAGGAATTCAGAAGGTAAACGTATCATTTTTGAACATCGAACAATCATGTTAGTCATCTGCTCATAATATTGAATAGTACCAGGGATTCAGGAGATGTAATTGACTTTGTTGAAGTCGTTAGCACGTTATTGCTATTGCTGATAGCTCTGTCTGTTGCTGTAACTCATTGTGAAAATCTCTAATGGTAAAACGAAACGGTATTGAATATGTCACACAGTTCCCAATACTATTACTATTGTAATTATTTACAATTATGGTAAATAATATGAAAGATTGGTGGAACTGTGTGTAACTGAATATTTTGATAATTGTTATTATAATTTTACTATTTTAACCAATCACTTATGTTAACATCGAACGGTAAAAAAATAGTGACATAACTCGGAGGTTGGGTTGGGTTTTAACAAATGTTACAAACAAGTTAAATAGAACTCACAATTCTAAATTACTCTTTATACCTAATTATTTTTTTTTTATAAAGGAAAATTTGATGTTTTTTTTATTAGATTAGTTTATTAGCGTATAATGATAGTGCATTTATAGATTATTTTCAATATAACTTCCAAAGTTTTGGTTCAAAATTTATTATCATTCAATCAATTTCTAAGTTAGATCATTCTTAATTAGATATAAAAATAAAATGACTGGTCGATAATAACTTTTGGACCAGTACTTTGGAAGTTCTTATTTTTATACCTAGACAGGACGATGAGTAGGCCGTGAATGTCTAATTATGAAAATAATTATCTCATCAAAATAATAATCCTCATCTCTAGTCATTTTTTTAAATTGTTAATAACTTTCAAAATTCTGGTCCAAAAATTGTTATAGATCAATCACTTTCTTAATTAGATAATTATCTACTTTATAAGTGAGTTAAATAGGTATGTTACCATTTGAAAAATAAAAATGACACTCCTTTAAGTTATTAGACAACATCCTAAAGAGTAATTAATAGTTAATAAATCAAAAAATATATGTAACTAAAATAAATTAAAATTTTTTTTCCAATATAGTATTTTTTTTGCAAGCAATCGAAAAGTTTATGATAAACTGATCACTTTATATTTTTGCTATAATTATATTTTAATCTTTTAATGTGTATTATAATAGTATGTTTTATAATATTTAATTGATGGTGAATTCTATCAAACATTTTTGCATACTGTTAACTACTAATGGTTTTTTTTTATATATCTTAGTTATTACACTGTTTTTTAAACATGGTTCATTAAGTCAATAATGACTATTTCAATTAAATAAATAAAATTAAAAATATACTGAATTGTTAATTTTGATTATGCGTTTTTATGCAATATGTAGTTTCTTTAAAAAAAAGTTTGTCATTATAATGTATTATTGGTTTTTGAAAAAAAGTTATAATAGTTAAAATAATATTTTAATTTTAATTTTAAGAGGCAAAATTTGTCTTAGTAAACCACCATTTACTGGACATTATTTATTTTAATAGAATTGCCACTTATTGAGAAAGAAATTTTTTCAATTTTTTTTACTTAAAACTGCCATAACTTTTTTAAAAATGACTAAATCAAAATAAATTTTTTTTATATAGATGCTTGATGTCTTTACCAATTATTTGGTATATTATTTTATAAATCTGACCTTTTACCTGCCCACAGGGAAGATTTAAAACGACAACTTTTTTACAAAAAATTAACATTTTCAACTTAACTTTTGAAAGTATTCCGGAAAGTCTGACACTTTTATATATATATATCTTGAATTAAAACTGATGTAATGTATTTTATTATGGAAAAAAAAATTTCGGACTTTTTCTCTTCACGGTGAAAATGGCTACCAAATGCTATTTTTGTATGAAAATTCTCGATTTCATTTTTTCCTTTTTTAACTTTATAATGCTATAACTTATTGAAAAGTGTATGGATCAACACAATTTTTTTATGAGAAATAGTATTAATATCCCTTTTTCATTCGACATACTTTATCTTAATCAAATTATAAATAAGGAAATAGAAAATCATGTAGCTTTTGGAATAATCCACCAATTTTTTAAAATTAAACACTATCTAAATATATGCATCGAAGTGTTTTTTATGATAGTGATTTTAATCACTGACAGATATCATTATACTTGATCCAACTATGCCACGTCACTACTGTGCTGCGACCCCCCTGTTTTGGGGTATTTTTTGCTTAATTTTTTAAAGCTAACCGTTAATTTTTAATTTTATTTTTATTTTCTAAAAATATCTTAATCGTTTATCTACAAATATTAAGATTCAATTTAGTAAAAAATATTTGAATAAGTAATTTAAAAATATTCATATTGAAGGTAAGTAAATATTTTTAAGTTTTTAGAAAATCGAATATTTTGTGTTTATATAACATTATCTAGAAGAGATACTTATTTTATATCTGGTAATACTCTTACTATACAGTCTATTTAAACAATAACTAATTTTTTTAATATCATTTATACTCTTTGCATCTTAAAACCTCTGATATATGATTTTAAAAGGCAACATATTGAAACTTCCTTATCAAAACGTTAAGTTTCAAAGCCAATTGCAATTAGTTTAAAACTTGTTTAACGAACAAATAAAAATTAAAAAAAAAATTTAGTTGTATTCTTTTTCTTAAAAGGTATATGGTAAAAAAGCGATATTGTTTTGAACTATTAAATTATAAAAATACCAAATAGTCTTACTTAAAAAATTCATTTTTATATTAAAATATTCGTATTTGGATTAAATCCATCAAAATTCTCGAATAATAAGACTACATCAACTTATTAAATTAGATTCATTAATATATGTTTTTAGTTTAATAAAAATATTATAAAGTATTTAAAGAGTACTCAGGAAAATATTAATAGAAAATAATAGAAGTTACATTTAATTGATTTTACAAATTTTAAAATAATCTTTTTTAAAACATAAAACAAAATAATAAATAACAGTTATTTTTTAGCTTCGATGCAAAGCTGAGAAGGTATTAATTTTAATATGATGTGTTTTTTTTTGTGTCTGTTGCCACTTTTTCTCAGCTCTCACTGGACTGATTTCTTTCAAAAATACGTCAAAAGATCACAAATCGTATCTAGTTAAAGACATTACCCTTAAAAATTGAAAAAAATTCCCTCGTTCTCCGCAAATGGGGGAAATATCCAAAAAAATTACATATTTAAAAATCGCTACTTTTCGAAATTTTTTCACTTTTTTTTTTTAAAACTTCCATAACTTTTTGAAAAATCAACAAATCAACATAATTTTTTTTTATACTAAAACCTTAGATATTTTCCTTTCATTTGATATCATTTTTTTGAAAATCTAACACATAACCTGCTCATTGGAAGGGATTTAAAATAGCAACTTTTTTACAAACTAACTAACTTTTTCAACTTAATTTTTGAAAATGTTCCGGAAATACTGCGTCCTTTAAACATACATCAAATTAAAGCTTATTTTATGTACTATAAAATGAAAAAAAAAAATTTGTCCCGACGACCTATCTTCTATGCGCAAATGGCTACCGTATTCAAAAATATGCTATTTTTCTATTAAAATTCTAGGTTTTGTATTTTATTTTATTTTAAAATATCTTATTAGGAGAATATATTGACTTTCACGAATATTATGTAATTTAATTGACATAGAATAAAGGTCATAAGACATAAGAAATTAAACTTATTAAATTTTTTTTACTTTTTTATTTTCATACTAAATTTAATAATTATAATTAGTATTTATTCATATATTATATTTTAAAATCAAAGAACTACTAATTAGGATATAATCAAAGAAATAAGAGTTGATGCTGCTTTTGGAATAATCCACCAATTTCTCTAAATGAAACACTATCTACAGATTTGCATCGAAGCGTTTCTTATGATAGTGATTTTAATCACTGTCAAATATCATCTATAATTGTCATATCTCTGCCTTGTCTATACTGTGCCTCGACCCCACTGTGCTACCGTTTGTTTTTTTATTAAAAAGATAATTTATAATGAAAAAATTTAACTAAATAAACAGTACAAAAAATCAT